AGGCCATAGCAGAGAGCTGGATCAGAAGAGGAGCAGCCGGGACTAGAACTGGCGCCCTTCTGGATGCTGGTGTCCCAGGCTAGGGCATTAACCCGCTGTGCCACAGGACTGGCCCCGGTACATGTTTTCTATTCTTTTACTTTTAACATAGGTGTGCTGTGTATCTTTTTTATATATCCTATAGTTGGATCTTGCTTTTGTATCCACTCTGATAACTACCATCTTTTGACTGGAAAATTAATTCATTTGTATTTAATGGAATTATTGATATGGTTTTTTTTTTGGGGGGGGCAGGCAGAGTTATCCAGTGAGAGAGAGCAGAGTTAGACAGTGAGAGAGAGAGACAGAGACAGAGAGATAGAGACAGAGAGAGAGGTCTTCCTTCCGTTGGTTCACTCCCCAAATGGCCGCTGCGGCTGGCACTGCGCCGATCTGAAGCCAGGAGCCAGATGCTTCCTCCTGGTGTCCCATGCGGGTGCAGGGACCCAAGCATTTGGGCCATCCTCTGCTGCCCTCCTGGGCCACAGCAGAGAGCTGGACTGGAAGAGGAGCAACCAGGACAGAATCCGGCACCCCAACCGGGACTAGTACCCGGAGCCCCAACCGGGACTAGAACCTGGGGTGCCGGTGCCGCAGGCGGAAGATTAGCCAAGTGAGCCATGGCGCCGGCTGATATGGTTGGATTTAAATGTGATATTTTGTTATTTGATTTACATTATTTTAGATACTTATTTCTCTTTTTTTCCTTACTTTGCTTTAAATAATTTTTAAAGTATACCCTTGAGCTATTTTGTAGTTATGCCCCTTTAACTTGTCACAATCTGCATCCAATGAGCACTGACTTAATTGTGTGAAAAGACAGCAACTTTACTCTAGCTCCTGGTGCCTTTTTTTTTTTTTTTAAGATTTATATATTTATTTGAAAGGCAGAGTTACAGAGAGGCAGAGAGAGAGAGGATATCTTTGATTTGCTGGTTCACTGCCCAGATGGTCTCAACGGCCAGAGCTAGGCTGATCTGAAGCCAGGAGCCAGGAGCTCCCTCCGGGTCTCCCACATGGGTGCAGGGCCCAAGGACTTGGGCCATCCTGCACTGCTTTCCCAGGCCATAGCAGAGAGCTGGATTAGAAGTGGAGCAGCCAGGACTCGAACTGGCGCCCATATGGGACGCCGGCACTGCAGGTGGTGGCTTTACCTGCTACGCCACAGCACCAGCCCCTCTGGGTGTCTTTTAAATCAGCTTTCTAGTGTGTGCTAAGTGTCCTGTAACTGTCCCTGCATCCTAAATGCAATCAATGTGTTTGTAGCCAACATGTTGACTCTGAAGTTCTCTGAAATCTAACCCCAGGCTTGACAGCAACAACACAGGCAAGCATCCTCCATGGTATTCCACAGGCACACACGGAACTGGCCACTTGCATCACTCACTGAACTGCTGCCCTCAAGGAAGTGTCAAGAGCTCAACGTGGTGGTCCCAAACCCCAGCAGCCAGTTCTCCAGGACGCGAGCAGAAGCCCCGCCTTCCCAATCCAGATTCAGGACAGCAGTCAGATCTTTGCCAAGGAAACAAAACTGCCTGGACAGTATTCCTGTGTTCAGGACAAGCTGGGAGGGGCAGAAGCCATTCTGAGAACAGTGCCCCCTATGGGCAGGCCTTGTGTGTGAGAATGTGGGCTAGCAAATGTGCAGGCTGGCTGGGAGCCAGCCCAAGGCCTTATTAACAATTCATTTCCTGAATAGTCAGGGGCTCTGAACTCACAGATTTTCTCCTTGAGAATGTTAGTGAATCTCTGGGCCTTTCATTGGTGAAAAATTTCCCCACAAGCTAGAAAGAAGTGTTTTTCTCACTGACAGTGTCACAGTGGCAGGGTGTATTGCATACAGAACAATCAAGGTTGAGCAGCTGGGAGGGAAGGGGCACTCAACAGAGGGGCTGGGAAGGTGCGGCACAGGGTGGAGCAGGGGAGTGTGGGCCTGGACTCAGGTAGGCTGAGGCCGCTCTGAAGGTCACTGGAAACCTTGAGGAGGCGGCCCGTTGGGGTCAGGGAAGAAACTGGTACAAATCCAGGAGCAGCTCTGGAGGCTGAGTGCAGGCAGGTCTTTCTTTTTTTCTTTTTTAAAGATTTATTTATTTGAAAGTCAGAGTTACACAGAGAGAGGAGAGGCAGAGAGAGAGGCGGGGGGGGGGGAGGTCTTCCCTCCGTTGGTTCACTCCCCAATTAGCCACAACGGCCGGAGCTGCGCCGATCCGAAGCCAGGAGCCAGGAGCTTCTTCAGGGCATCCCACATGAATACAGGGGCCCAAGAACTTGGGCCATCTCCTACTGCTTTCCTAGGTTATAGCAGAGAGCTGGGTCAGAAGTGGAGCAGCTGGGTCTCAAACCGGCGCCCATATGGGATGCTGGCGCTTCAGGCCAGGGCATTAACCTGCTGCGCCTCAGCACCAGCTCCAGACAGATCTTTCAAGTAGAGTTGTTGCAAAGGGGAAAAAAGCAGCTGATGGCACCGTGTCAAGAGCATTTGAGAGGAATCAGGTAGGTTATCTTGCTACGGGAGTAACCCAAGAGGGGAACCTGGGGATGTGAGAGGCAGCTGAGGTTCCTGCGGCAGCACCTTGAGTAGGTGAGGAAGGCTTGGCTTCCTGCCCCAGGTGCAGGACTGGCTTCAGATGAGGTCAGCTCATGGCGAGGTGTGGAGGACAGCTGTGGTGCAGCAGGTGCCAGGCCACTGGCTGATAGAGGAAGAGAGGAACTGTTGGCAGTTTGAGGACAGAAGTGAGGAATGTATGAGAAGCAGTGAGGGGAGGGACATCACAGGCCCCTTGTCACTAGAGCTCAGGCCACATTTTTCTGCAGGGGTGCTGGTGCAGGACAAGAAGAGAACTGTTTCTTTCTCTTTTTTTTTAAAGATTTATTTATTTATTTGAAAGAGTTACACAGAAGGAGAGTCAGAGCAAGAGAGAGAGAGAGAGAGGTCTTCCATCCTTTGGGTCACTCCCCAATTGGCTGCAACGCCTGGAGCTGGGTCAATCTGAAGCCAGGAGCTTCTTCCAGGTCTCCCACGTGGGTGCAGAGGCCCAAGGACTTGGGCCATCTCCTGCTGCTTTCCCAGGCCATAGCAGAGAGCTGGATCGGAAGTGGAGCAGCTGGGACTAGAACCGGCGTCCGTATAGGATGCTGGCACTGTAGGAGGTGGCTTTACCCACTACACCACAGCCCTGGCCCCAGAACTGGTTTTAAACAGTATGGAGAAAGGCAAAGTGAGAGAGGCAAGGGAGTTAAGGGCTGTTCTAAAAAACACTGGAAACTTTTACAGTGTGAAACAACCACCATCCACATACCCTTGATTTTCCAAGTTGGCTATTTGGTGCTTCTGGTCTGGGCCAGGAGATCTCCAATGGGGCTGGTCACAGACAGCTGTGCCATAGCTTCGTCATGGGCAGCTTCACTGGTGGTCTGCTTGTGGATGTCAGTCGGGACAAGAGCCCATGATGGGGCCACAGGACTCTCATTATCTGGCACACGACCCTGTGCTTACCCTCCTGCCCTGCAGATAGCCGGGAGCAGCAGGTGGATCCGGCACAGATGCTTGCCTGGGCTGCAAGGCCCCGGTGCAGGCAGAGGAGGAGTCTGGAGTCCCTGTTTACTGTGAGCTCTCAGTCATGCTGAAGGGTCCTGGACACCTCCTCCTGCAGGTCCCTCAGGCCCTACCCCAAATGGACTCCTGGCTTCCCTGCTTGACAAAGTCCACTGATTCGGGACACTTGCTGGCCCCTCCAGACTCTCTCGCCTCTCCTGGCCCCCAGCCCTAGCACCTTCCCTGGGGATCTTTTGAGTCCTTATCCTTTTTCCATTAAAACCACATGCTAGAGGTAGCAGGTGCCAGGAGTGTTCTGGAGCCACCCCTGCTGAAACCCCCCCCGCCCCCGGTAACACAGTCCAGGTTCTCTGCTGGTGGCCAAGGCAATGCCACCGCCCCCCACCACACCCCACTTCCAGTGGTGTTGCCTGGGATGGGCCCCGGAACTGGCTGCTGCTCCTCCCTGGTTTTCCACGCCTCTCATGAGAGCAACCATTGTCCCCACACTAATGCACTGCCCACATGCATGGATTCATGAGTTGGGGACGGGGCTACCCACAAGCTGGTGGGCCTCTCCTCGCTGACACTCCCCAGCCCCCATCAGCACAGCTCGGGGCTAAAAGACCCTGTCCCAGGACCCTTGGCCCCTCCTCCACAGGACCCAGAGGAAGGGGGTAATTGGTGCCTCCAAGAGGACACACAAATACTTGTGCACACATGCAGGGACACATGCACCCACACAGACATGCAAGGTACAAACATGCAGATGCACCACACCTGCACTCCCCCCAACACACACACACAAACATGTCTCTGGCTTTTGCCTCTGAGGGCGCAGAGGCTGGAGACAGCAGGAAAGGAGCCAGGAGAAGCCGAGGTAGGAGGATCTCAGAGTGGAGGCCAGGCGGAAGCAGCCACACTCCAGGAGACAGACAACCCCTTCCTGGCCCTGACTGTGTATCAGTTCCTGGGTTTCTTTCCCAGAGCCCTGAGCTGATCCTCCAGTAATTTAGCCAGAGTGACTGCAGGCTCACAGCTTTTCAGGGCTAAATTCCTGTAGAGACCTGAGCTGGAACTCTTGTCCTTAGTAAGAGCAGAATAGGCATGTGCTTGGGCTTCAGATTTGCATGGAGACAAAATTTTATTAGAAGAGACCAAGAAATAAATAAAACAAAACGGGATTGGTGTGGGAAACAAACACAAGTCAACATCCCATGAACACTCAGGCAACTCTCCTGTTTTTCTAACTCATCTCTTATAAAAGTGGAGGGATGTTGAATCAGTTATTTCTTATCTCTGCACTATTGAGGAAGGTCAGGAGTCAGCAGACTTTGGAAGACCTCTCTGAGCTGCAGTGTGGAGGTGTGTGGTGGCCACACTTGTCCCCCGGTGGTTGCTGAAATGTGATTTTTTTCCCCCTGATTTACCCATCCACCCTACAAGCATAGGGCTTCTCCCCTGTGTGTGTCCTCTGGTGACTGATGAGGTCTGACTTCACTGTGAAGCCTCGCCCACACTCCCTGCAAGCATAGGGCTTCTCCCCTGTGTGTGCCCTCAGATGATTGATGAGGTGTGACTTCACTGTGAAGCCTCGCCCACACTCCCTGCAAGCATAGGGCTTCTCCCCTGTGTGTGTCCTCTGGTGACTGATGAGGTTTGACTTCACTGTGAAGCCTTGCCCACACTCCCTGCAAGCATAGGGCTTCTCCCCTGTGTGTGTCCTCTGGTGAGTGATGAGGGCTGACTTCACTGTGAAGCCTCGCCCACACTCCCTGCAAGCATAGGGCTTCTCCCCTGTGTGTGTCCTCTGGTGACTGATGAGGTGTGACTTCACTGTGAAGCCTCGCCCACACTCCCTGCAAGCATAGGGCTTCTCCCCTGTGTGTGTCCTCTGGTGAGTAGTGAGGGCTGACTTCACTGTGAAGCCTCGCCCACACTCCCTGCAAGCATAGGGCTTCTCCCCTGTGTGTGTCCTCTGGTGACTGATGAGGTTTGACTTCACTGTGAAGCCTCGCTCACACTCCCTGCAAGCATAGGGCTTCTCCCCTGTGTGTGCTCTCTGGCCATTAATGAGGTGTGACTTGTCACTGAGGCCTTGCCTACAATCTCTATACTTGACTCCTGCAATTCTTGACAGCCCTGCCCCCACAGATGATTTGCCTGTGTCCTCTGGATTCAGTTCTTGGCCTATTCTAGGCTCTTCCTCTATCATTCTCTCACCCTCCCTTGAGGTCTCCACTTGTCCTTTGGGAAGGCTGGAAAAAGACCTTGAGATCGCCTTCTGCCTTGTCCTTTTGGACGAGAATCTGGACTTTTCTTTGACGTCTTGACCTTCGTTTTTGTCATTCCAGCTCTGTGGATCAGACAGCTTCTGATGCTCTTTCCCTGGACAGGGATTCGCTGGTTGCAGGTGATTTCTTGCAGGTGCTCCTGGGAAGATCTGAGAGGAGTGACTGCGCTCCATGTGTTGACTGAGGAACTTGTGACTGGAGAAGGCCAGAGAGCACGAGGGACAGGGATGGATTTCTGGCTTTGGCTCTGCCGAAAGAGGTTTTTGGTTAGGGCAGAAACAGACAAGCAGGCTGGCCATCTGCATTGCCGTGAGTGAGGCCAGCCCCACTATTTGTTCTGTACATGTTAGCAACCCAAGCATTCCTGTATGGTGTATTTTTTTTCATTCTATTTTTCTCTACATCTTCAGATATCCAGAAAGCCCACATCAGAGGCCCTTTCTATGTATCGGCCAGACTAAGGGCTTTTTTTTTTTTTTTAAAGATTTATGTATTTATTTGAAAGTCAGAGTTACACAGAGAGAGGAGAGGCAGAGAGAGAGAGAGAGAAAAGTCTTCCATCTGCTGGTTCACTCTCCAATTGGCCACAATGGCCGGAGCTGTGCTGATCCGAAGCCAGGAGCCAGGAGCTTCCTCTGGGTCTCCCACATGGGTGCAGGGGCCCAAGGACTTGGGCCATCTTCTACTGCTTTCCTAGGTCATAGCAGAGAGCTGGGTCGGAAGTGGAGCAGCCGGGTCTCGAATTGGCACCCATATGGGATGCCGGCACTGCAGGCAGCAGCTTTACCCACTATGCCACAGTGCCAGCCCCAAGACTAAGGGTTTTCAATTAGCATCCTGCAACTTCACTGTGTCATAGCTGGGGCTCCAGAGACCTCTACCCACATCCCAGATGCTTTCTTCATTGGACCCTCCCTGATCATCTGCTGTACCTTCCTCCGCTCACATGGGGAGGTCACTTTTCCTGACATGTCTGTGGCTATTTTATTCTGTTGAGAAACAACTACACTGGTCACTTAGGGTGGATTTTCTCTCATGACATTCCCGTTGAAGAGAAAGGGATCTATTAAGTTGGGAGTCACTCACCCTGGAGACACACAAATGTGGAAGTCACATAGTGTTTAAGAGAGCACCTGCGAGTAGATCTGTGTTTTAGTCTCTCCATTCAAAAAGAGGGCTCACGTGTCTGATCTCACTGGGAGGCAGAACTCAGGCTGGGCAAGAGAGCATCCAGGTTCCAGGGACTGAAGGACTCTGGGTATTGCTGCCTCAACTAGGCCATGAATTGTTTGTTAGTGCTCTGCAAATCACAAAGTGAAAACATGTCCTCAGGCCTCACGCCATTCATTCCTAACTTATTTTATTCAGCATTTGCCCATTTCCCTTGCAGTACGAAGTCCTGATAGAAAAATACATCTTGTATCAGACTTCTCACCTCTCTGATCCCAGCTTCACTCAGGTACACGCTCTGAAGGGGTCACCCTCAACACTCTGTTTTCTGAAAGCTGACCACAGCATCATCTCAACACAGAACGCAAACCTCCACAGCTGTCTTCATCTCACTCAAAAAAAATCTAGGGGCTGGTGCTGTGGCACAGTGGGTTAAGCCATGGCCTGCAGTGCTGGCATCCCATATGGGTGCCCGTTGGAGTCCCTGCTGCTTCACTTCTGATCCAGCTCCCTGCTGGATCCAGTTCCCTGATCCTCCCATCTTTCCACTGGGAAAGCAGTGGAAGATGGTCCGAGTCTCTGGGCCCCTGCCACCCATGTGGGAAACCAAGAAGCTCCTGGTTTTGACCTGACCCAGCCCCAGTTATTGTGGCTTTTTGAGAAGTGAACCAACAGTTAGAAGCTCTCTGTCTCTCCATCTCTGTAACTCTGCCTATCAAATAAATAAACAAATCTTTTTTAAAAAATTCAAGAACATCTAGGGGAAGCTCCTGGCTCCTGGCTTCAGATTGGTGCAGCTCCAAACATTGTGGCCATCTGGGGAGTGAACCAGCAGATAGAAGACCGACCTCTCTCTCTCTCTCTCTCTCTCTCTCTCTCTCTCTCTCTCTCTCCCTCCCTCCCTCCCTCCCTCCCTCTCCCTCCCTCTCCCCCTCTCCCTCTCCCTCTCCCTCTCCCTCTCCCTCTCCCTCTCTTCTTTCTGTGTAACTCTGACTTCCAAATAAATAAATCAATCTAAAAAAAAAAAACAGCTAAAAGAGCAGAAGAACCTTCCTTGATGAGAGAGCTGGCAGGTGCCAAAGAAGTCCTTTTTGCCTTGGACACTTTCAACGCAGTGTGCTGTGGGACATTTTATGCATAAAGTACTTAAAATATAAAAACAGAAAAAAATTTGAAATATAACAGTTGTTTCTAAGAGTCAGACATATAAAATGAAATTTTTATATTTATTTATTTGAAAGGCAGAGTTACAAAGAGGCAGAAGCAAAGAGAGATCTTCCATCCACTGGTTCATTCCCCAAATGGCCACAATGGCCAGAGCTGCGCTGATCTGAAGCCAGGAGCCAGGAGCTTCTGAATCCAGGTCTCCATGTGGATGCCGGGGCCCAAGCACTTGGGCCAGCCATCTTCTACTGCTTTCCCAGGCCATAGCAGGGAGCTGGATCTGAAGTGAAACAGCTAGGTCTTGATCCAGCGCCCATAAATGGATGCTGACACTGCAGGCTGTGGCTTTACCCACTACACCACAGTGCCAGCCCCATAAAATGAATCTTTAAATCTGTAAGAGCTAGTGTTGTGGCACAATGGGTTAAGTTGCTGCCTGCAATACTGATATGCTTGCTGGTTTGAGTCCTGGCTGCTCCACTTCGTCCAGCTCCCTGGCAACGGACCTGGGACAGCAACGGAAGACGGCCCATGTGCTCGGGGCTCTGCACCGCTGTGCGACTCCAATGGATTCCAGGCTCCTGGCTTCAGCCTGGTCCAGCCCCAGCTGGTGCAGCCATTTGGGGAGTGAACCAGTGAATGGAAGATCTCTGTCTCTCCATCTCCTTCTCTCTGTAACTTTACCTTTCAAATGAATAAATAAATATTCAAAAAAGAATCCTTAATTTAAAAAACACCTGATGTGAAATTTGACTGACTTTATATTACATTTGATCTATTTAGAGTTGAACCACAAAAATTCCCATGAAGAATGCTTCTTTTCTTTCATTTTAAAGAACAATAGTGCTACCTACCTCTCCCTGCTGTGAGCTCTTCCTTCCACTTGCTGCCCCACTTGATCCCCAGCTCCTGGCCATATTCGTCCCCATACCAGACCAGCAGCTCACAGCCAGGCTTGATGACCTGGCAGGTGCGGTAGAATATCTGCTTGTGGTACTGAAAGGCCACCAGGTTCTGCTCCTCGTCGTTCCGGGCACAGTTCACATACCTGAGGTGGAGACAGATGCTGAGTTCCCATTCCATGTCAGATTTGAGTCTAACTCATCACATGATGGCCAGGCCTCCACCCTCCCCCTTGGTTCCCCCCACCCCTGCCCCAGGGAGAACCTTCTGTTTCTGCCCAGGTTTCTCTCACAAGGTCAGTGAGTTCCCTGTTCCAAGTCTTGTTTGTATCCAGGGAGAGCCTTCTGTTTTTACCCAGGTTTCTCTCACGAGGTCAGTGAGTTCCCTGTTCCAAGTCCTATTTGTACCTAGGGAGAACCTTCTGTTTCTGCCCAGGTTTCTCTCACAAGGTCAGTGAGTTCCCAGTTCCAAGTCCTATTTGTAGTGCTCATCCTGCCAAGCACGCTTTTCTCTCTTTCCTAATTAACCATTTAAAAACCCAGTCCAGACTTCCACCTTGACTGGCCACAAAGTACAGTGATGCCTAGCTTCTCCAAACTCCAAACTAATTTGTTTGGTGCCACAGAACTTGCCGTGTGAGCCTGCTTTTTGCCTCCAGAGAGTCACTGGCTGAAGTCTGCCTTCCTTTAATCTCCTCACAGTACCCAGATGCCATTCCCCTACCTTCCCAGGTTCCCACAGAAACGGCCAATGTCCTCGTTATTCAATTTCCCTATCCCATGATGAAGGGGGAACCCCTTACAGAGCAGAGCAGGGCTGGGGCACTCGGCAGAGACCCATGGCCCTGCCACAGCTCACTTCTCCGCTGGATTCAGAACCCCATCCTTTAAAAAATATTTATTTTTATTTATTTGAAAGGCAGAATGATGGGGGGCGGTGGAAAAGAAAGGGAATGATAATGAATCCGCTGGCTTACTCCTCAAATGGCTGCAACAGCCAGGGTAGGTGCAGGGGTCCAAAATCTTGGGCCATCCTCCGCTGCTTTCCTGGGTACATTAGCAGGGAGCTGGATGGGAAGTGGAGTAGATGGGATTCAAACCAGCATTCATGTGGGATGCTGGCATCACAGGCAGTGGCTCAACCTGCTGCACCATAACACCAGTCTCCAGAATCCAGTTTTGATTTCACTGTGGCTGGGAAGACTTCCCTTTTTTTTTTTACAGGCAGAGTGGACACTGAGAGAGAGAGACAGAGAGATAGGTCTTCCTTTCGTTGGTTCACCCCGCAATGGCCGCCACAGCCAGCATGCTGCGCTGATCTGAAGCCAGGAGCCAGGCGCTTCCTCCTGGTCTCCCATGCGGGTGCAGGGCCCAAGCACTTGGGCCATCCTCCACTGCCTTCCTGGGCCACAGCAGAGAGTTGGATTGGAAGAGGAGCAACCGGGACAGAACCGGCACCCCAAGTGAGACTAGAACCCGGAGTGCCGGAGCCGCAGGCGGAGGATTAGCCTAGTGAGCCGTGGCGCCGGCCGACTTCCTGTGCTTTAAGTTGTTCAGGCACTGTGCACTTCTCCAAATAATGGGAAAATTATAGTTAAGGACACAGGTTTCATGGGCTGTCCAGGTATTGAAATCCATTTTCCACAAAGGAAGTGCTTAATAAATGTTGATTAGACAAAGGGTGAGTAGCCAGTAGATCTAGGCTCCTCAAAGCTTATCCTTGTGCCCCAGTTTTGTCTAGCATATAGATTTATGTTTTGATAAAAGATATAGTATTTATATTTTATATCTTTTTAAAAATGGCCATGATATTGAAGAGCAGTGTCTGGAGAAAACCGAGGAGCATGGGGTCACTGAGGGAGGCGTAAGGAGAAGGAAAGGAATCTCAGCTTGTGAGAGAGAAGCGTCCTCCCCAGAACGCGACTTGCTCTGGGCCTTACCTCATCCAGTTGGCCCAAGATCTATCCTTTCCATCCACATACTCATAGCAGTTTCTCCCCTTGGTGATCTGAATTTCAGAAAAATAAGTTAAACTCTCCCTGGAGTGGGAAGAATTCAGAATTACTTTACTCAGCTATCATCAGTGCTCTTTGGGCTTACATGGATTCAGAAACGAGTTGTGACCACATGTTGATCTCCTGCTCATCAGCAGACATCTGAGTTGATTTATAGTCAGAGCAGAGGACCACAGGGAGGACACCTGCTTTGTCTCTTACGGCCCTGCTCTGTCGTAACCTGCCATCTTTACACAGGAGTTCCGCATCTGTGCAAAGACTGCTGAGTGAGCTAATCATGTTGTCCCCATCTATGTCCTAATACGTGGGAGGAGACATCCCACCAAAGGCACAGAAGGGATGTGGGGAGCCAGAAGACAGGCGAGGGAAGCACTTCTCACCAGCCAGGAGTACCCGCTGTTGGCTGCCTCCTCCTCTTCTGTGATCTGGCCCTCGTAGGGACCAAAGTGCAGACCCAGTGGCAGATCTGATGCCTCGTTCCATACTCCAAGCCCAGCCTCAGGGATGCCTGATGGTCCAATTCTTAGCCCAGGGGGCAGGCTGAGGACTGAGCGATTGGGATGCCCCTTGTCCACTGCACTGTCCTTTACAAATATGGGTGGTCCGTGAACAGCACAGCTGTCTAGGAAGAAGTTCTGACACTTCTCACAATCTGGAGAGGAGAGCAGCAAGGATTAGTAAAAGTATACTGCTTGTTGCTGGGTATAGAGAGCTTCAGGAACAGCCCAGCACTCACATCATTTAGCCTCAATCTTTTATTTATTTATATATTTGACAGGTAGAGTGACAGACAGTGAGAGAGAGAGAGAGACAGAAAGGTCTTCCTTCTGTTGGTTCACCCCCGTAATGGCCGCTATGGCGGGCAGTACGCCAGGAGCCAGGCGCCTCCTCCTGGTCTCCCACATGGGTGCAAGGGGCCCAAGCACTTGGGCCATCTTTCACTGCCTTCCCAGGCCACAGCAGAGAGCTGGACTGGAAGAGGAACAACCAGGACTAGAACTCAGCGCCCATATGGGATGCCAGCGCCGCAGGCGAAGGATTAACCAACTGAGTCACGGCGCCGGCCCCCAGCCTCAATCTTGCACTCCAAGTTATAAGAGGAAGGGGACGAAGTGGGGCCAAATGATGAGATGAATTTTGAGTCAGGACATAGGAGCCTTGAGTGTGAGTGGGCCAGAGGGTCACTTACAGAGGTAATCGTCATCCTGAGGCTCACTGCACTCTTTGTATGCCTGACTCTTTCTTTTTCGAAAGCTGTACATCTTCACTTCAATATTCTTCCTTCTAAGTCCTGAGTTGGAGAGAGTAGGTGAGTGAAGTTAGGAGTACAGAATGTTTATTCCTGCTTTATCTGAAAATGTGAAACCTCCTATCATCAAATTATCACCTATGCTTTTACATATCTTCCCTCTACCTCATCTCCTGCTCTTAAATATTGGCTCAGAGAGACCAAGGCTCCACACTTACCAAATGACAATGTCTAACTGAATTTAAGTTTCTAACTGTTCCCATCAGCAGATTTAATCTCTCAACATTTATACTTATAAAAACACTTTGTTCATTCATAAAACATTTTTGAGGATATAGTACATATTAAGTATTGAGCAGAGGCCTAGACATATCTCACTAAGAAAATGTGGTTTGTACCATCAAAGATCAATTTATTGGCCACCTTGCATGTATCAATTATTTTATTTTTTTAATGCTTTCAAATAATATGAAGTGTCTTCAAAGAGTTCACAGAAAAACCGCATGGATTTAAAAAATGGTTTTTCACTAAAATAAACTTAGGTTTTAATTCCTTTTCCATGAACTTTTAAAAAATTGTTAATTTAAGAGGCAAAGAGAGACAGAGAGAGGAAGTGAAAGGGCAAGCTGCCATCCACTGGTTCACTCCCTAAATAGCTGCAGTAGCAGCCAAAGCTGGGAGCAGGGAACTCAGTCCAGATCTCTCACATGGATGGCAAGAACCCACTCACTTGAGTCATCACTGTGTCCCAGGGTTATATCAGCATGAAGCTGGTGTCAGCAGCAGAGCCAGACATGGGCGTCTTCACTACTAGGCCAACTGATTTCCTGTCTGGGAAATTGTTGTATATCAGCTATGTATCCTTATCCTCATTTTGCATGTTAGCACTCAGGAGCTCAGAGAATTTATGATTTCCCAAAGGCTCCAATACTTTTGTGTGGACTATAACCCAAGTACGTGAATTCAGAATTAATGTGTTCACCTGCTATTCAATATTACAATCAATTTTTGGTCTCCTAGCTTAATCCAGCATAAGTCCAGACCCATTCAAAGTATGCCCCACATATCTCAGTCATCCTCATCAGCCTTCATCCAGAGGGCCTGGAGGGACTGAAGTCGCCAAAGTACTTTCTCTTTACCCAATTTTCGTGTGGAGTGCTGTCCAGATGTCCTCGTTTCTTTAGGAGGGAACGATGGTTTCTGGTCCTCCTCTGAGCCAGTTGTCTTCAGCAAATTTGCTGTTCCTGACAATTCCTTCAAACTAGATTCATTATTTACAGGCAACCTGGGCATCCCCTTTAATGTAAGAGTCACATTAAAAAGATAATTTTCATTTCTTTAGTTCCTTAGGGCTTGCAGTGTGTTTTCACACACATGACTTTATTTAGTGCTTCATCGTCTCTGGAAATATCTAATGTGTGAATACTTGAGGGAAAAGCAACATCTAAGTGGGTGTTTTTAAATATCTATTTATGTGAAAGTCAGAGTTGCACTCAGAGAGAAGGAGAGGCAGAGAGAGAGAAAGAGAGGTCTTCCATCCACTGATCCACTCCCCAGTTGGCCACAACGGCCAGAGCTGTGCCAATCCGAAGCCAGGAGCTCCCTCCAGGTCTCCCACGTGGGTGCAGGGGCCCAAGGACTTGGGTCATCTTCTACTGCTTTCCTAGGCCATAGCAGAGAGCTGGATTGGAAGTGGAGCAGCCAGGACTCGAACTGACGCCCATATGGGATGCCAGCACTGCAGGTGGCAGCTTTACCTGCTACACCACAGCGCCAGCCCCCAATTCTTAGAGCCATGAAGAATCTCACTGAATCCAGGGCTAGAATCTATGCCTTAAGGCTCTTTCTCTCCAACTGGTTTTCAGTTTCTTTTGTACAGATGCAAGTGAGGGAGAGCGAATACTTGGGAAGATGAGCTAGAGAACAGACAAAGTCTGTGAAAGAAGGCAGAAGGGCTTATAGAGAAAAGGAAGCTATCTTCCATAAACCAGTCGACATCTGGTGGAAGGGGAAACGTAGAACAGAGAGGGCATAAAATAGACCTGGAACATAAATGTGCATCAGTGAGGCTGGGAGGACGTGGAAGCAGTGAGACTGGTGGAAATGGAGCATGGTGCTCAATCTGCAAATTGCAATATCCTGAGAATAATATTTGACTTTGCAATTCATGGGTGTCTGTGTCAATTCTGTTGAATCAGGGTGTACCATTAGTTAATTCTCTTCAGCTTGTTTTCTTGATCTGTAAACTGATATGCATGTGATATGGTAATGTTCATTATGAGCTATTGAATATGGCACGAATGTGAGATTAATAATTTTTCCTACAGTCCTATTATTAATTTACCTCTTCAATAATCTTTAAAGTTGAAATCTGACTCAAAGATTTTATCTTCAGCATTCCTTGGACCTATTACTACTTGTTTAATTAGTAAAATTTTGAATCAGTATCCCAGAAAACAGTGAGAGGTTCTTCATGGTTCTGAGAAGAATTGGGGGCTGGTGCCGTGGTGTAGCGGGTAAAGCTGCTACCTGCAGTGCCGGCATCCCATATGGCGCCAGTTCGAGACCTGGCTGCTCCACTTCCAATCCAGCTCTCTGCTATGGCCTAGGAAAGCAGTAGAAGATGGCCCAAGTCCCTGGGCCCCTGCACCCACGTGGGAGACCTGGAGGGAGCTCCTGGCTTCTGGCTTCGGATTGGCACAGCTCTGGCCGTTGCGACCAACTGAGGAGTGAACCAGTGGATGGAAGACCTCTCTTTCTCTCTCTCTACCTCTCCTTCTCTCTGAGTGTAACTCTGACTTTCAAATAAATAAATAGTTAAAGAGAGAGAGAGAAGAATTGGAATGAACTTGGCTCTCAACTCATAATGCAGAGGCAACAGGCCAAATAAATAATTCCAAACAAAAAAAATAAGTTGCCTAAATAGAGCTCAGAGGAAGAAGCTGTCATTTCCTCCTTCAGGAATGAGGATTTGAAATTAGTTGCAGAAGATACATTTCTACTGAACATATGAACCTGTCTGAAACTTGAAGTCATTATCTTACTTCCTGCTTCTCAATCAGGAAACCCAAAACTCATCAGGGCTTGGAACTGCTTCCTCTTATCAGAACGGGTCCCTTATGAGGTGGGGACCCCTTCTCATTCTTCATTTGGACCACTCACAGTACAAATTGCCCGTATCTTTATAAGCTTCCTTTATTCAGACTGCTTAATGCATCTCTCACTTTACTACAGCAGAGAAAAACAGACTGAGATAATCAGAAGAATGATGTAAACATGTGTGATTTAAAAAGCACAAACTTTGCAAAGCTATGCAAGTGCTAATGAGCTTGGAAGCGCTCTAGATGAGGAGTTTTGGGTTGGATTATACAACCACTCACTGTAATCTCAAGCACATAACTCAACATTTCTGTGCCTCAGATTCCTCATCTATAAAACTAGTATATTTTAGTACCTGCCTCACAGGGTTGTTGGAAGGTTTAAATGGGTTTATTCACGTAAAATGCTTAAAAATAAGGCCTGAAATACTATGAAAACAAAACAAGTGGTAGTGATTATTTTGCCATTCTTACTTCCTCTCCATGATGCTGTCAGACATTATGCTAAAGAGACCCGGAGAGGAAATGGCAGCTCCTAGTATACGCTGTGCCTTCTCCTCTTGCCCGTGATGGGCCCATGAGGAAAATTTTTCTAGTGAAAGGGATCTGGGAGATACTCACCTTCTGGTGTTTGCTGTGTTCCGTTCTGAAGGCCATCCAAGGAGGTTTGACTGGAAGGTGACAACAAATCAGTGTTGGTTGGTAAATGTTTCAAAACTTTGGAAATCCTCATTAGAGGAAGAATTCTGAGCCAGAGAGTAGAGTGATGATTCCAAATATGATCCCGATGTGACATAACAATGCTTTCTGTGGCCATTTGGGGAGTGCATCAGTCGTCAGACGATCTCGCCCTCTCCCTCCCTCCCTTTCTGTAATTCTTCCTTTCAAATAAAAAATAACAATAGACAAATCTTTAAAAAAGCTCAGTTGTGTTTCTGTACACTAACAATGAAAAATCCCAAAAGGAAATTAAGAAAGGAACCTCCTCTTCAACAGCATCAAAAAGAATAAAATACTTAAAAACAAACTTAACTGAACCTGGGTTGATACTGAGGGATGACTGTACAAAAATTAATTCAAAATGGATTGAGGACTTGAAAGAAATCTTGCCACATGCTACAACATGGATAAATCTTGACATTTTAGTAAATGAAGTAAGCCTGTCACAAAAAGACAAATACACACAAAGACAAATAGGTGATTTCACCTATATGAGGTATCTAAAGTCATGAAATTCATAGAAACAGAGTAGAATTGTGTTTTCAAGGGTCTTGGATGCAGACTTGAGCGTGAAAGGGGACTGAAGAGGCATAAGTCATCAGGACACTGTCTTTGCTGCAGGATACCATGCACTCAGCTCCTCAGCTGCAACACATTTTTTGAACTATGACACAGGAAACATCTGCTGTAACTTAAGCAGGAGTAAGCCTTCTGTTTTAGGGCCTTTATAGGAAAAATGATTAACAAAAGCATTGTTTGCCTCTCCCTGCATGGAGGCAACATCAGAACCTGAGACTGTAGTGTGCTCCCTTAATAAAAAACCCAGACTGTAACTGTTACTGTATCTCTCCTTGATTTTTAAATCTGATTGGTAACCATGACATAAATCTATTTTGTTTAAACCTTACTCAATGCACACACCAGCCCTGTAAGACATGTGTAAAATTTGTAACCAAACAGAAGTTTGTGTGCTTGAATCCTCACTTTGACTTTCTGATTCTCCAACACGATTGCTGATTTCAGTCCATAGGGGAAGGAGGAAATGGAGGTGGTTATTCAAGTACACTTTCAGTCATGTATGATGAAACAGTTTGAAAGCTCTGTTGCACAATAATGTACATATAATTAACAACACTGAACACTTAAAACTGTTAAAACCATTAGGGTACAGTTGTGTTATGTGAGTTCTCATCACATGAAAAAAAAAAAACAACAACAAATTGAGTAGTAAGGTGGAAACTTTGAGTCCAGATAAAGATGCACAGATGTGTGGTAAACCATGGAGGTATGTTACCCACTAAAATCTTTCTTTTCACTTTGAAGTCTTTGTGTGCAACCAAACAGTGGGCTTTCACACCTCTTACTCTACTCTCGACAGCCTAAGGAATCTGAAATCCATAGATGGGAAACCATAGACTTAATCCAAGTTGGCTTTCTCCAGTTCAGGAAGATCGACTTTATCTTCTAAACTGTCCTGCCCAAGCAGTAGAAGAGGAAATGAACTGCTCACTTCTATATCAATTACACATCTTTTTATTTCCAGGATGCCTACTGTGGTGACTTGTTGGAAAGATCAGGGAAATTAAACAGCTCTCTCAAATCTTTTCCAAGAATGAAAACAGGTTCATTCTTAGGTGACAGTATGAGGTGGTGTGATTAAGTATACATGGATAGATTATATATTATGTTACTTCTTCTAAAACATTTAATTCAGTAATCAAACTTATGAGATTAGTCTTAGGAAGCTTTTGGGAGGATGTGCAATTTAAGATTAATTGCCTCTTGATTAACAATGTTTAATAAAAATAAGTTTTAAAAGAAATGTGTTAAATTTTAAACATAGAGAAAATAGAGAGTGACACTGAAAAATCTATACATCCATCACCATTCAGCCAATTTTGGCTGCTTTAGATAGTTTTATCTTCATTTCAAAATCAAAAAACAAAATTCAAAATGATAAGCAAAAAACTAACCAACTACCGTGAAGCCACCTGCCAGTCCGTCCTTCTAGTAACAAAGCTGCCCTGAATTTGTTATTTCATGCACTTTCAGATTTCATACATGTACCACTTGTTGTCTCTACATAACACAGCTGCTGTTCTACGATGTTGCCTCTAACTGCAGTGGTGTTTTGCTGCACCCTGTGCTGAAGGTAACAGGTGTCCTTTGCTAACTTGGAGACATTGCTGGGCCTGATCCCTAGACTGGTTTCCGGTCGCCTCTGAGCCCTCCTGGCGCTCACCTTGCTGCCTAGGCGTCCATTCTTCGTCGGAGTCCTCCGTGTCATCCGCCCGGGCTCTGACTGCCAGCCTTCGGTGACACATGAAAGCCGGTCGCGGGGCTCTGAGACCTGGAAAGAAGCGACATCTTCACCCTGCGGGCAGAGCTGGGAGGAGGAACAAAGAGGGTGGCAGGACAAGCACCCCGAAGCCTGATGGACTGGGAGAGTCCAGGTCCAGATGCGAGCTCTGTACGGCCAGACTGCAAAACTCCGCGTCCAGATTCGTCCCCGCGCAGAGGGGAACGGTGGGCAGAGGCAGGCACCGAGGGGTTCACGCCGACCGGGTACCTATGGCTACTAGCGCGCAGTAGTTCCTCTTCACGTTCCGGTAGCGGATCTTCTCCCACTCGCCCATCTCTGCCCACTCTTCCTTGGAGAAGTAGATGGAAATATCCCGGAAGGCATCTTGGACCTGAAAGACGCCGGATGCCTTGGGCGACGCCCGAGTCGCGGCGGAGACGCGGAGCCAGCCTGTTCTTTCCGCGCGGAGCGTCTTGTCGGGCCCTCCCCCGCGCCGGGCTGACCCCCTGCGGCGGCCCGGGCTTTCACCTCCGGCTTCCCCCGCGCCTGGCCTGCGTCTGCCCCCGGGCTCGGCTCCGCGGGAGCCGCGGCGCTCATGGTCGGGGCCCCGCACAACGCCCGTCTGCGTCCAGGGCTCCTGCGGGAGAGAAGGCGCTGAGCCAGGCCCGTCTCGGGGCGGCGGCGCCGGGGCGGGCGGACCAGCGGGCAGCCCCGGGGCTGGCGGGCGCTTCGCAGGCCGCGTCCCTCCTGCCCCCTGGCGCTTCGTGGTGCAGGGAAGACGCGGGGCGCCCGAGGTCGCGGGGTCGGGGACGCGGGGCTGGACGGGGTGGGTGGGTGGGGTGGGGGTGCGACCCTGTGGACCGTCCAGGCCCCGCCGGTCAGAGGGAGGGACTTCCCCACAGGCGGCGGAGGTTGGGGTCTCTCAGGCCGAGGTTTGGGGTCTCGGGCCGAGGAGTTTTGGGGTCCCTCATGAGGGGTCACTGGGGCCTCGGAAGCCGCAGGGTTGTTTCCAGGCTGAGCGGCTCTCGCGGTGGGGAAACCGGGTCTATCAGCTTAGGGGGTGGCAGGATTCGGGGTCCCCCATGCTGAGGGGTTTGGGACCAGCACAGGGGATTTGGGGCGCGCCCGCGGTCCCCGGCTGAGGGCCTTGGGGGTCCATCAGCTTAGGGGGTGGCAGGATTCGGGGTTTCTCAGGCGGAGGGGATGTGAGGCGCTGGGGATTTGGGGCGCGCCCACGGTCCCCGGCTGAGGGCCTTGGGGGCCCATCAGGTTAGGGGGTGGCAGGATCCGGGGTCTCTCAGGCGGTGGGGATGTGAGGCGCTGGGCTGGGGGTTTCAGGGTTTCCCGGCTCCCGTCGGTGCATCCCGCTCGCCTCACGCGCTGTTCGCCGCGGCCGCGCCCTCTGCGAGCCCCTCGTGTGGGGGAGGTCAGACCCGCGCGGGGCGCCCCGGGAGGCGCGGGCCGCCGATTGGTCGGGGAGCTACTGGGGCGGGACAAGGGGCGGAGCCATGCCTGTCCGTCACCGGTACCCCAGAGCTGGACTGAGGTTTCCCGCCCCTGAGCCGAGGGAGGAAATAATCATTTTATTCTTATAATTGTATCTATGAATTACTTGGAGTCTGTTTTCTTTTTATTAATATCACATTAATATGAGAGTTGTGTTGTAGGAATTATTCATTTTCTGTAACCCTGAGAATCTAAGATATTAACCAATACCTTTTTTTTTGTAAGATTTATTTTTATTTATTTGAAAGGCAGAGTTACTGAGAGACAAAGGGTGAGGTGGAGAGATCTTCCATCTGCTGGTTCGCTCCCCAAATGGCTACAACGGCTGGGGCTGAGCCATCTTCTGCTGGCTCTCCCAGGCACACTAGCAGGGAGCTGGATCGGAAGTAGAGCAGCTGGGACTTGAACGGGACCCCATATGGGATGCCAGTGTCACAGGCAATGGCTTTACCTGCTTTCACAACAATGCCAGCCCCAAAAAAGACTCTGAAGAAAACAAAACTTCATGTATAAAAATCTCATCTGATTTCTTTAAAGTCTTAGGTTAAAAAAAAAAAACTTAATGGAAGATTCTTTACCACAGAACTGCTTTTTTTTTCAATCTATCCTTGTATTCACTACAGATGTCTACTCCTTCCTAGGGAAAAAATGGTCAATGCTTCTGCTTCCTTTAAATAAGTTCACTTCTTGATTACACATTATCATTCCTCACTTGACACCTCCTTAAAAACTTGATTGTTGGATGCATTTTGCACTTGGCAAAAATTCAATGTGGCTTTGCGTGGGATGTCTAAGTGTCAGGAACAGCAGTGCTGATTTCTGGTTTTGAGAGGAAAACAGAAAGAGAGATGCATACATTCCCTACAAATACAGGGGACTGAAAGGGGGCATACACAGAGGCATGACTTGGTTTTGAATTCTGTGACTGTCAGCCACTAAACAACTGCAGTGTGGGCCAGAATATGAATCTCCCAGGAAGGAGTTTGGTCCAGCACTCAGAAGTGGGTCTGCTTCATTCTGTCCTAGGTGGGCTGGAGCAGACACACACGAGGAGAAGGATGGTCACACCCAGTGACCTGCATCCTGTCAGGGTGCACTTCTGCCCAGGCTTCCCTAACTCCATGATATGCCAGGCCAAAATGAGCTGTAGAGTTACATGTCATTCTAGGTCACGCGGAAGCTGGTTGGCCGAAGACCTGGGTGTGCCCACGAGGTCTACCCAGAAGGGTATGCCTTAATGATCTTCACATCGTCCACAGGGCGGTCTTGGGAGTTGGTTTCCACCATTCCCACTCGATTCACCATTCCTATACCCTGGCACACTCGGCCAAAAATGGTGTGCTTGCCGTCAAGCCACTGGGTCGGTGCGAGGGTCACAAAGAACTGGCTGCCATTGGTGTCTGGCCCTGCGTTGGCCATTGCGAGAATTCCAGCCCCAGTGAATTTCAAGTCTGGATGAAGTTCGTCTTCAAACTGTTTGCCACAGATGGATGCACCATCTCGACCTGTGCCCGTTGGGTCACCCCCTGGATCATGAAGTCTTTGATGATTCTGTGAAACTTGGTGCCATTGTAGTAACCTCGACGAGCCAACTCAGCAAAGTTCTTGCAGGTCTTTGGAGCATGCTTCCAGTACAGCTCCAGCACAATGATGCCCATGCTGGTCTCCAAGTAAACGTTGGGCGGCTGCCAGGAGTCTGGGGGAGTCGCCGCCATGGCGAGGCTGGCGGAATCCTTCTCTCTAACCAATACCTTTAAAAATAAAAAATAAATAATATTAAAAATGGGGAAAAAGAAATTACACTGCCAGAGGAGAAAAAAATGAATCGGAATAAAGCAAGCATTTATGATATAGTGTCAAAAGAGCAAATATGTATATTGAACTCTTGGAACTCCAGCTGGAGAAGAGGATGATAAAAAATTAAAGAAGCTCATTTTTTAAAAAAACACAAATCCTTCCAAATTTGGAGAAAGATATACATTTGAATATCTTTGTCTTGGTTAATAAAACACAAAATTTCAGCTAAACAGAATAAATAAATTCGAGATCCAAGTACAGTTAATTATAGTACATTTTATAATTTTTTAAAAATGGAAAGGTAGCACACAAAGTTGGAGACCCATTTCTGTCAAGTACCCAGAATATATAAACAACTTTTATAGGATGGAAACAAAAGTACAAACTTCACAATCATTTTTTGTCAGAATGTACAGATTTTCACCAAGCATGTGAAAAGCTGTCCAGTTAGGGGAGTGAAAATCAAAAACCCAGGGAGATACCACTTCACACCCAGTTGGAGACTGTGAAAGGGAAAATAATTATTGGAAAGGATGTGAAGACATTAGAGCCTTAATATGTTAAAACCTTCATACATACATAGCTAGCTGCTATGAAAAATAGTTTGGGATTTTCTCAAAAAGTTAAATACAGAAATACCTTATGGACCGGTGTCCCACGTCTAGAAACAATTGAAAGCAAGTACACTCATGCGTTGATGAATGAGAGTTTTATGTCCTGAGAAATCCACCATCGTGCAGCTTTGGCTGTGTAAATGCCATGCTGTGTACTACAAAAACTAAGATGATTACAGCGTGCCTCGGTGGTACGGTCTATGAGGTCACTGTTGTGTATCTGGGCTCTCACTGACTGAAACGTTGTGCAGTGCAGGCTGCACTCAAATGTGCTTGTGTATCCGTAGACCCACTGTTTGTCATAACCGAAATTGGAAATTCCCTGAATGTTCATCAGTGAGTGAACAGGTGCACAATTTGTGTATCCATATGAGGACACTTCAAAAAGCTCATGGAAAATGAATTTAAAAGATGCTTATTTTGCTGCCAAAAATGTATGAAATCTATGCACATTTTTTCATAGCGCACTTTCTATGAGCTTGTTGACATTCTCTCACACAGTGGGATATTATTCAGCCATAGAAGCAATAAAGTTAACATTCTACAGTAAACTAGTCAGAAGGAAGGAGACGACATGCATTTAGCCTGGATTCAGTGATTCTCTTCAAGTTGCCTGGGTTTAAGTCCCCACTTTGCCCCTGATTCCACCTTCCTGCTAATGCACACGTCGGGAGGCAGCAGGTGATGGATCCCGCCACTCACCGGGGAAATCTAACTTGAGTTCCTGACTCCTGCATTTGGCATGGCCCGGCTCTGACTTCTGACCGGCTGCAGAACCACTCCAGAGCTAACTGCAGATCCGCTTCTCTCGATTCTTGCTGCAGTGGCCTCTGCCACAACAGCAGCATCCCATATGGGCACCGGTTCTAGTCCCAGCTGTTCTACTTCAAGAGAAGATGCAATGATGTTAACCCTCGCCAGACAGCTTACAGCTCAGTAAGTGTGGTGGAATGAGAAGGCCGTGCCAAGATGGCTGCAACAGAAACTGCCTGGCAACAGACTATGATTGGATGGTTTCAGAAACCACATGACAGCGGAGTCTGCCTGGCAACAGGCTGTGATTGGATGGCTTCAGAAACTACCTGGCAACAGGGTGTGATTGGTTAGGGCACAGACCGCTCCTTGACCAGATTGGCTGCCTTGGCTATATAAGCTGTTGTAGCAACTGAAATAAACGAGTCTGCAGGCTGCTTGCCTCAGGCCTGCTTTCACCTGACTCCTGGGTTCTGGTGGTGACTCTGCGCCTCTTGCCCCCACCACGCTCCTCCTCTCAGAAACGAATCCACTGCAACAAGTAAGAGTGTGGAAAGAAAACATCTTCAGTAACTCTGTTCCCATGTGTAATGTATCCATCTTGTGGCCGCCATGTTACATTAGAATTCCCAGTCCCTGTAAGGGAGACAAGGAGGCTAAAACCATATGCGAGGGAAAACCCTTCTTTGTTCAGAGCTCAGGATTTTGGTAAGAAATTCCACCTGGGCCTTATGTAGAAGACTACTTCCTGTTAGGAGACTCCTGCTACAAGGAGGCACACACGCAGATCAGCCCAACACCCAGCCCTGGGGGAGCGCACACAGAGGGCATCTGCGGTGAAAATCTGCACTCATCTCTGCCCCCAGCACGTTACAAATGCAGGCAGGCAGCCAAATAGTTAAGTAGCAGAATTGTATCAGCTTCTGGGTGAGGGAGCCTGACTAACTTCATTTTCTAAATACTCTGTCTTTTCAGGGTTCTTCACCTCACAGGCTGTGGT